CTTGCTATTCATCACCTTGAATATTTCTTGCCATTCTTGTCTGGCCTGCATGGTTTCTGTTGAGAAATCAGCTGACAATCGTATGGGTGCTCCTTTATAGGTAACTACCTGCTTTCCTTTTGCTGCTTTTAATATTCTCTCTTTGTCTTTTGCTCTTGGAATTTTAATTATGATTTGTCTTGGTGTGGTTCTCCTTGGATTCCTTTTGTTTGGGGTTCTGTACGCTTCCTGGACTTGTAGGTCTAATTCTTTCACCAGGTGGGGGAAGTTTTCTGTCACTATTTCTTTTCAGTATGTTTTTGGTATCTTGTTCTCTTTCTTCTTCTGGGACCCCCATAATTCTGATGTTGGTTCGCTTGAAGTTGTCCCAGAGGTTTCTTACATTATCTTCAACTTTCTGGATTCTCTTGCCTTCTTGCTTCTGCGAAGGAGTATCTTCTGGCTCTTTATGTTCCAAATCTTTGACTTGATTCTTGTGATCTTCCATTCTGTTTTTAGGACTCTGTATAATATTTTTTATTCAGACAATGTATTCTTTATTTCTAGTTGATCCCTTATTTCTTGTTGATCCCTTATTATTTCTAGTTGATCTCTTTTCATATCCTTATAGGTCTTATCGACCTTTTCTAGGAAGTTCATGAAAAACCTTATAAGCGTGGTTTTGAACTCTATATCCAGTCGTTTTTTGTCCTCCATTTCTTTCGTTTGTGATCTGTTTCCTTGTCTTGGCATTTTCGCAGCTTCCCTGAATTGGTAGCCTTAAAAGTCTCTGTGTTCAGGTTAAATGGGGCAGAGTTTCAGGGTGGAGCCTACAGCCTTCATTTCCGTCAGCCACGCCCTATGAGGCTTCTGAGTCTCAGTATTCCTCAGGGTCCTTCAGTACTCTTTGCCAGCATCTCTGAGAGAAAGGTGCCCTTGAATTTTGCTTGCTACCAAATAGTCTAGGCTCTCCCCCAATGAGCCCAGAACTGGGATTCAGTTCAGTTGGAAGTGGGGTTCAAAGCAGTCTGGAGCTTTTGTCTCCTTCCCGTTAGGGCAATCCAGTGGCACAGTCAACCTCCATTCTCTGTGTACAATGTGCGCGCCTCTGGGACTTCCTTTCGTAGCTCCCCTGGGTTTTTGCCTTACGCCCCAGGCTCCCTCTGTATGAGCCTGGGTCCCCAGGGTCTGGCCTAGAACTGGGGTTCAGTGCAGTTGGAATTGGGGCTCAGCACAGTCCAGAGCTTTTGTCTCCTTCCCACTAGGGCAGGGGTCTGCAACCTTTAAGACATAAAGAGCCACTTGGACCCGTTTCCGAAGGAAAAAAAAACCTGGGAGCCGCAAAACCATTGCGATATTTAAAACAAATATAACACTGCATATATTGTTTCTTACCTTAACGCTATATACCGGATCGTGCAGTTAGCTGTCAATCTGAAGAAAAAAAGGACTTTTTCACTTAACAATGTAAAATATATTTTTGCAAATGAATAGCTAATTAAAATATTTAATTTACCTGGTTAATGGGATTTTTGCTCCTGAACCTCAGTGCACAGTGTCAGCACATCAGGGCTGTAAGAGGTTACCTTCATTTTCACACAGGCTTGCAAGTTGTCGGAGCCACGGTAAAGCTTCAAAAGAGCCACATGCGGCTCTGGAGCCGTAGGTTGCCGACACCTGCACTAGGGCAATCTAGCAGCAGAGTCAACGGTCCATCCTCCGCGCGTAATGTGCGCACCTCCGGGGGCTCTACCTTTCGCCGATCCCCTGAGATTCTGCCTAACAGCCCAGGCTCCCTCTGTAAGAGCCTGGGTCCCCAGAATCTGGCCTAGAACTGGGGTCAGTGCTGTTGGATCTGTGGTTCAGCACAGTCTGGAACTTTTATCTCCTTCTTGCTAGGGAACGCCATCCAGGCACTCAGACTCCCCCTCCTCTTCGGCTCCGTCCTCTCTGTGCGCGCAACGTGTCTCTGTACCTTAGGCTTTTACAGCTCCTCTGATTTTCCTTCTGGTTTTCTCTTTCCTTCTCATTGTAGAATTTCCAGTCAGTCAACTTTCCTGTAGTTCTGGGTAATGTCCATTTTGTATTTTAGTTGTATTTTATTGAAATTGTTGTGTGAGGCTGCAGTTAGGTGTTACCTATGCCACCATCTTGGATTGTTTATTTACAAATCTATTCTTCCATTTAGTAGGTCCTCTTTTTGTTTTGTTGATGGTTTCCTTTGCTATGGAGAAACTTTTTAGTTTCATGAAGTTCTATTTGATGATTTTTGCCTTTGTTTTTCTTTTTTGGGGGGGACATAGCCAAAAACTAATGTCAAATAGTTTGCTACCTATGTTTTCTTCTAGGAGTTTTATGGTTTCAGGCCTTACATTTAAATCTAATCCAGTTTGAGTTTATTTTTGTGTCTGTCTGTCTGTTTGTCTATAACAGCCTAAGTGGCCGTTACTGGTCAACCAGTTGCTGTGATGTGCACTGACCACCAGGGGGCAGACATTTAATGCAGGAGCTGCTTCCTGGTGGTAGTGTGATCCCACAGTAGGAATGCCACTTAGCCAGAAGCTGGGCTCATGGCTGGCAAGTGCAGTTGCGGTGGCGGGAGCCTCTCCTGCCTCCGCTGCAGTGTGCTGAGTGGTGGCAGCAGGCATACTGGGGCCAAGATGAGCGGGAGTGGCGTGGTGCTCAGCCCTGGCTCGGTCTCCTCCTTGGTCACCTGCCACTTGGCGCACTGCTACAATACCACATCCCCTGAGGGGTCCTGGCGCAGCCAGGCTGAGGGACCCTTCTGGTGCATGAATTGGTGCACCGGCCCTCTACTATGGTATAAGAGAGTGATCCAGTTTCTTTTTTTTCTTCTCATGTATCTGTCCAGTTTTCCCAGCACCACTTGCTAATGATCATTTTCAATTCTTAAAATTTTCGCATTCTTCTTTTTCAAGCATTCTTCTTTTGTGTTATAAGTAAGTTTTCAAAAATGCACGTCAGAGGATGGTTGCGTTTACTTGAACTTGATTGCTCTCGTCCTCAGGTGGGACAGTCAGTAATGCTCTCTGATCTCAGACCTTAGCTTTGTTTCCATAGTGGTAAGTGGAGTTGTCTGGAGTGATTTTTAAAATACTGTCATATAAAAAAGGAATTATTAGGCTGAACCATAGGAAATGGCCAATATTAACCTTTTTAATACTACAAAAAATGTCAAGTTTATATGGTTCAACCTAATAGGTCCAAAAGGAGGAAATTTGTATTTGGCTTTAATAAAGAATTAAAAAAGAAAGAAAGAATTTTAGAATATAGCAGAGGTTAGAGTTTTTAATTTCTCTACTGATATGCTTGTTCTATAGTATTAGTTTGAGAAGTATGTATTCCATTTTACTTTGTTACTTTTTCTTTTCTTAACTGTATCTAACTGATTTGAGCCTCTGTCATATATCTCTTGTCCAGATGGAAAATGATTTTAAGGAGTTGTGCTTGGGGATGTGTGTATATAATTTTTTTACTTGTTTGAATTGCCTATATAACAGCATCCGTCAGTTCATCAAGCCTACCAGTTTTGCAATCATACCTTAGTGCTCCATAGAGTATGATTTAATTGAGTTTAAGGATTTAAAAATTTGTTTTGATTATGGAATGTACTTCAGAAAGTAATAATATTTTGAATTTTTAGCACACTATTTGCTTCTAATGGAACTTGTATCATTCATTGCATTTAGGAAAAACTTGTTTCACTCAAGAGAGCATATTCTTGAGTAACCTATTCTATAGAGGCATGGCTTGAGTTTAAGGTGATTGCTCTCATCAAGTGAGGGTCCTGAAGGGAGTCCTCAGTAAACAGATTTTCTATTACATGAAGGCCTTGCGACAGCTTTATTTTTTGTCACTGATGTATGATAGACCATTGCCTTTTGTTCGTTTTTTTTCTAAGGGGTGGGGGTCAAACTTTGTCTCTTGAATTTGATCATTGAGCCCTCTAAGTTCTCATCATGCCTTCCAGCTCCATTCAATTGTTTGTTTATAGTCTCTGAGCACTTTTGATGAAACAAAGTACATGGTAATGAAATCTCAAAAATATTCAATACTAAAACCTTTGTAACAGTTACACTGTCCTTGTGTAAAAACTGCTATAAGATCCCTTAGGTCAGTGGGGGGCAAACTCATTAGTCAAGAAAGCCAAATATCAACAGTACAACGATTGAAATTTCTTTAGAGATCCAAATTAAAAAAAATATATATATTTTATTGATTTTGTACAGAGAGGAAGGGAGAGAGACAGAGAGTTAGAAACATCGGTGAGAGAGACTCATCGATCAGCTGCCTCTTGCACACCCCCTACTGGGGATATGCCTGCAACCAAGGTACATGCCCTTAACCGGAATCGAACCCGGGACCCTTCAGTCCCCAAGCCGAGGCTCTATCCATTGAGCCAAACCGGTTTAGGCTAGAGATCCAAATTTTTTAAACTTAAACTTCTTCTAATGCCACTTCTTCAAAATAGACTCGCCCAAGCCGTGGTATTTTGTGAAAGAGCCACACTCAAGGGGCCAGAGAGCAGCAGTTTGTTGACTGTGGCCTTAGGTGTATCGAGAGATTCTACTAGAAGAATCCCTAGTTCTTTCCATTCATATTGATTCTGGAATGCTGGTGAATCTGAGTTTGGCCCAATTCCTGAGTGACAAGTGTTAGGGTAGGATCCTGATTTTTGATTTTAGGATTTTCCCTTCTTTTTCCAAAGTCTGAAATGCTGAGAACTAGGGCAGCTTTAGAAAAAAAACCACACAAAACAGCATGCTGATCTCTTCTTTCAAAAGGTGAATTACAGTGGATTGATTCTCTGTTATTTACCTTAAAGTTATATTCCTTCTCTCCAAACAATAATCATTGGGAGATAATGACAATCTGATTGATATCTCCAGCTATATATGCATGCTATTCTTTCACTTTCTATTTCCATGTGGTAATGTGTGTATTGTAATAACTAGTATAAACACAAGGGATCTTTGTTTTTTGTTTTTGTTTTTTTCTAGTAACAAATAATTTTAAGAAAACTGTTGATACTGTGACATCTAAAGCACCAGCTGTCGACCTAGACCACAAATTTAGGTGCAAGGTTGTGGATTGTTTAAAATTTTTCCGCAAAGCCAAGCTGTTGCACTATCACATGAAGTATTTCCATGGAATGGAGAAGTCTCCAGAGCCAGAGGAGAGCCTAGGAAAGAGGCATGTCCAAACAAGGGGTTCTTCAGCTTCAGACAGGGTCAGCCAGGAGAGCCTGACCAGGAAGCGAGTCTCTGCCAGCTCCCCAAGTAAGTATTTTCATTCTGTATTGTATCTATATCATGGAACACTCTGCTGCTCAAGTCTCAGTGTTTACATTTCTAACATAGAAAACAGGTGTTGATGTGGTCCAATTGAGTCCCAAAAGATTGAAAAAGACAAGTGGTCTTCAGGGATTGCATTATGGGGGAAGCAGAAATACCCAACTCATTCTTAACCTCAGCCTCTTGCTGTTCAAGTTACCCTGAGAAAGTCACTTAGCCTTTGAAGGCTTTTGTTACTTCCAGTATGAAGTAGGGACAGTCAAGGAAAGGGAACTTCTTCCAGAGCCAGCAGGAGAACTTATGCTCAGAATAGCATGGCTGCAGTCATCCCATCCCCCATCCCTGCCTGCAGGACAGAGGAGCAAAAGAACTAAAAGATGATATATGATTTTCCTGTGTGGTCAAAATTTGAGTCTGATTTTATGATAATTGCAACTGAAAATGTTTTCCTATAGCATTGTTTATTTTGCATAGACACTGCCCTTGTGGTAGTAAGGGTTACTATAAAATCTCATGTTCATGTTTTATTACAAAGAACCTTCTGGGAGATTTCTTTTGAAACTTACAGAGATTGAAAAAACACATTTTTCTGGGGAATTGCAGAATTAGTGAGTTTTCAGTAAATTCAACAAGCTTCCTGGTTTTTTACCTAAAACTGTAACATTATTGTATACTAGAGCCCCGATGCACAAAATTAGTGCAAGAGTAGGCTTTCCTTTCCCTCCTGCCTGCACCGGCTTCCCTCTGACACCTGCGACCTGGGATTCCCTCTGGCCTCCAGCAGGTACCTGGGACCCAGGCTTCCCTCACAGCCCCGGCTTCATCCAGAAGGTTGTCTGGTGTAATTAGCATATTATGCTATTATTATAATATTTAGCTTATAGCTTATCCATTAAAATACATAGGTAAGTTGGTCTGAAGGTTGTGGGTTATTGTTAAGCTGATTAAAATACATAGGTATTTGATGGCATATGAAACTCCTGGGCATTTGACACCATGTATAAAATCAGGTTTCAGGACAGTAGGGCAGTGTCATGCAGACTAAGGTGGTCTCCTGACCCTGGGTACAAAATCAATAGACATGGTGTTACTATTTGATATAATTAAGAAACCTAGATGATTGAGTTCCTACTTTTAAAAAATATATATATTTTATTGATATTTTATAGAGAGGAAGGGATAAGGATAGAGAATTAGAAACATCGATGAGAGAGAAACATCGATCGCTACCTCCTGCACACCCCCTACTGGGGATGTGCCCATCACCAAGATACATGCCCTTGACTGGAATCAAACGTGGGATCCTTCAGTCTGAAGGCCGATGCTCTATCCACTGAGCCAAACGGGTTTCAGCTGAGTTCTACTTTTATTTACTGCCCTTGGATCTCAACTATATATATAAAGAGCCAGGGTCTGTAACGCCCCAAATGACTGACTGTACAACTAAACACCAGAAGTCAGTCCTGCAGTCAGTGCTGGCTTGCCGTGGCGACCCAGTGCTGACTGTTGAGGGGGCTGCAGATCAGGTCCAGAGAGAGACCTGGAGAGAGAAGCATGATCTGATTCACAGCCTCCTTGGCAACTGTTGATCAGCCCTTGCCTCTCTTTCTCTCTGGGCCTCACCAGCAGCTAAAGGGGCTGCTGATCAGCCCCACTTCTCTAATCAGGCCCAGAGATAGGCTCAGAGATGTTGACTGGCATAGAGAACCCAAATCTGGTTTAACTGCGACGAGCCAATGGCTTTCTAGGAGGCGGAGCTTTTGACACTGACTGGCATAGAAACTGACCAATCAGAACCAAATCTTGGTGAACTATAAAGGTAGAACTTAAGGTGGGGGCTGAGGAGAGATTTTAAGGGCAACAGCTATTTGGTGTAAAGGGTAAGAAGGCAGATCAATTTTTTAATGATCAGTTTGGTAGTAGAGTGCATATGGCTGACTATCAGTCCAGATATAGGGATTATGTATTTTTGACTACCAAGAGCATCTCTTCCTGCTGAAAAGTCTTTTCCTCCCTTTTAAGCAAGCCTATCTTCTATAATCTATACTAATAAAAGGGTAATATACTAATTAGGCCAGGTAGACTGGCTGTCTTCTGGACATCTGACTTCCTTCCGGACAAAGCCATGGTGGTTGGGGCCGAGGTGGAGGCAGGTAGGAGCGATCAGGCTGGCATGGGAGGTTAGTTGGGGGTAAGATCAGGCTGGCAGGGGAAAGCAGTTAGGGGTGATCAGGCACAAAGACAGTTAGGGGCAAGATTAGGCCAGCAGGGGAAAGCAGTTAGGGGCGATTAGGCAGCAGGCGAGCGGGGTTAGGGGCAATCAGGCAGGTGGGTGGTAAGGAACCAGCAGTTCCAAATACTCCCTCCCTTACCTCCGAGCACGAATTTTGTGCACCTGGCCAGTAGTATTAATATAAAGTAAGTCTTCACTTTATGTCGTCAGTAGGTTCTGTGACTTTAACAATGTATAATGAAGCCAACTGTTTACCATAAGCTAATAGATATAAATAATTAAGTCCTGTCTCTGCCACTAATCAGCAGGAACCTCTGTTATTATAATCTCTGAACCCAAGTCAGTAGACATGTTCATGGCTATCAATGAGAACAAACATAGCAGGGTATTCAGGAGATTCCACAGGCCCAACTCCCCAGAAGACATCCTCTGCCAGGCACCTCCTCCTACTTTTCTCCCATCAAGGCCTCTGACCATTCCCTCACTGTTTTGCTGGTACTTGACTAATCTGATAACTAAATTTCTTAAATTTTGAAAGAATAAAACCAGTTTAATGGCCAACTTGTATTTTTGGCATATCTAGGTTTCACCTCAGACTTCTAAGAAAACCCTTATCTTTAGGAGTAGAATTTCAGACATTTGAGGGGAGTTCAGCTGGGGAGATGTTTCTGGGTGAGCCTCTGGTACCATGCAGCCTGTGTCTTGGTTACAGGCATTGTGAACTTGACCTTATGCTTAAGTGCAAAACAGAATATTAAAGAATTTGTGTTGCTTGGGATAATTACTGTAAAAAAAAAGTACCCTCCTTATGCTGAGTGCTCAGATTATGACCAATGAAAATTTGTGTTCTAATAGTTTTCTTAGATAGAGATTCCTGACCAGAAAACTTTGCAAAGATGATTTTTGGTGTAACCCCTCAATTTTCCTGCCAGTAATGTTGAGTGGAAGAAGCTCTTCTATTGAGTGGGGAAGCAATTCTAGTCTGAGAGTCCAGAGACTGAGTCTTTTTTATTTTATTTTTTAATATATATTTTTATTGTTTTCAGAGAGGAAGGGAGAGGGAGAGAGAAACATCAGTGATGAAAGAGAATCATTGATTGGTTGCCTCCTGCACACCTGCTACTGGGGATGGATCCTGAAACCTGGGCATGTGCCCTGAACACCGGAGTCGAACCTAGGCCTGCTGGTTCATAGATTAATGTCAACTACTTAACCACATTGTCTGAGCCAAAGACCAAATCTTAGTAGCAATCCTGCTATTGTCTACTTGTGCTCTGAGCTCATCACAGATCTGACTTCCTTGTTTCTGAAGTGATGAGGTAGAACTAAGTATAAATAAGTCAAGGACTTTTCATATGGGTACAAAAGCACATGTATAGATACAGTGAAAATGGCTAAGTCCAATGTCAGGGACATACAAAGTACTGTGGAACACAGATTCAGATTTTGCCTATAGAGCAGGGTGAGATGTTGAGAGGAGAAGGTGACATTTCAGTTAGCTTTGAAGGGTATGGAAAGGTAAGGGTTGGACCAGAAGTCAGAGGAATAGGAAAGCATCCCTGTGCTGGAAACAAGCAGAGCAAAGGTTTAGAGTCATTGAGGACAACAAACTGTCATGATAGTCTGTCCCTAAAGTGACTTTCTGACTCTTGCTTTCTGATGTTTCCTCTTCCCTGAGTTAAGCCTTTAGTCTCATAAGTGAATTTGGGAGGTCCGTGTGGATTTACTTTTCCAAATGAACTTTCTTACAGTACTAGAATACAATTAATAAATTCTCTTCAGAGGCAAGTTTAGGCTTCCTTGGTACTGTATTGGGTTTGTTTCTGCATATGTGAGTTCAGTCCAGAGTAGAGGTTTGGCTCATAAAGAATATTCTAGGACAAAAGGGAACGTTTGGTTCATGTTCTCACTTTGGATAAATCTTACCTTTAGGCTAGAATGAGCCTTTGGGCAGTGGATGCTATTTTGTCACCATCTGCACATTTTTTCCTGTGGTATAAGACTGGCCTTCTCATAGGGATTTGTGCTTTCTCCTTTAATGGAAGAGAGTACTATGAGCTTAATTAGGGTATAGATTATTATGTCAAAGTAGTTGGCTTTAACAAGACAGGTTTATTTCCTTTTCTGGTCAGACTGCAAGCCCCCACAGTGGCTCTATGAAATTGTCCAGGACTAGCCTTTTCCTCTTTGTTCCTTCAGGCCTAAGGTTAAGGTGTTGCTGTTGTCTGCATGATCCAGAGTTGCTTATCATCCTGCCTATCTTAGCTGCTGGGAAGGGAAAGGGAGGGCATCCTTTTTTCTTTTAAGGGCACAACCCAAAAGTACCACAGCCACTTCTGTTCATATCCTAAATATGTGTACCTGGCTGTAACTCTGTCAGGGGAAGCTGGAAAATGTACTCTTTTCTTGTTGAAGAAGTGGCGAAAAGAGTTTTGCATAGCAGTCTATGTCATATGAGCTACAGTAGAAGAGTATAGGGTTTGAGGGAGAGATTTGTTGGAGGGCCATTTTGGGCTGATGTCTGGGTGGAATGCCTGGTAGGGGGGTGATGGGAGATGAAGCTGGGAGAGTAGACATGGTGAAATGATGGTGTTAGGTCGTGAGCATCACTTCCTCTGATAGGCAATGAGAATCTCTCCAAGAGCATACACACTTCTATGTCCTTGAGTTGCCATCCCCTGGTGCACATCAGAACATGCTCTCGTCACTGCTTGTGGTATACAAGCAGTTTTCTCATTGGTGAGGGTGATATTCTTTCCTCTTTCCTCTTGGAAGCAGCAGTTTGCTGCCCTTCTTCTGTCATAAGTTAGTGATGATTTGATGGAGAAATAGAGAGCAGCCCTGTCTGGGTGGCTCAGTTGGTGGGAGCATCATCCTTACACCAAAAGGTTGCAGGTATGATTCCCAGGCAGGACACATACTTAGGTTGCAGGTTTGATCCCCAGTCAGGATGTATGGGAGGCAACTGATGGATGTTTCTCTCACATTCATGTTTTTCTGTCTTTCTCTAAAATCTATAAAAACATATCTTGGGTGTGTGTACACAGGGAGCAAGAAGGGCCATGGTATTTCTCCTGATGGGTGCCTGCAGCCTGAGGAAAGGACAATGGCTATCTTGGAAAAGCTGTGCCCTACTCGGGGGATAGTCTGTTCTCTCATACAGAATCCTGGCAGGAAGTTGTTCTGTCCAGCTGAGTCTGGGCATTTGGGAAGAAGCTCTATAGCCAGGTTACAGGTTTTGTGGATCCTGGAACAATTGGTCAAGCTGCCTGAAGAGAGAACTGATAGCAGATGGCACCACTTTCTGGGCAGACAGTATCACAAGCAAGATAACAGCTAACATTTGAGTACTTGCCATGTGCTGGGCACTGTTTCAAATTCTTCACTTGTATTGTCCTATTTAATCCTCAAAACAAAGTCTATGAGGCAGGTACTATTGTTTCCACTTTATAGATTAGAAATTGAGGTGCAGATGAGATGGATTAACTTGAACCACTATCTATATATCTGTTAGGTGGTGGAGCCATGATTTGAATCTAGTGCAGAGCCCATACTCTCTATGGTCTGCTGTCTATAGGACTCAAGGGAAGGAAGCTCTGCCTGTTGTCACCTTCTCTTCCCTGTTCCTCAAGAACAGTTCCAAGAATCTTTTCTTTTTATCCTCAGGGAGGATTCTCTGAAGCTTAATGTGACCATATTTCTGACCAGCTGCGACATTTGGAATACTTTTAGTTATGAGTAACAGGAAACCCAGGTTGAAATCATTTATCAGCTGCCTCCTGCATGCCCCCTACTGGGGATCGGGCCTGCAACCCGGGCATTTGCCCTTGACCAGATTGAACCCGGGACCCTTCAGTCCACAGGCCAGTGCTATATCCACTGAGCCAAACCAGTTAGGGCTGATGCTGTTTTATAAAATGGGAATGCAAAGGAGATTGTTGTTGAGTAGCCCAAAGGAACTTCCATACTTAATTGGGGATGCCCTAGATTTTGGATATTTATAACCTGCATCTCCATCTCTATCTCAGGTCGTAGATGATACCTCTCCTTCAGCCAGTTCTGCTACTCATTGGGGTTATTGCTGTTAGCATTTCATAAAACTAATGGGTACAGTTTAGTTTGGAGGTTATTTTAACCAGAATTTACAAATTAAAAATTGTTCAGGAAGCAGCCGATCAAAGTTTCTATATGTGGGTAGGTGAAGATACATCATAGTAGCCCTAGTATAATACTCTTTCCTTTCAGTAGCCTCCTAAGTCACTCATGGTAAAGGCCAACTTCCTTATAAGGTCCTACATCAGTGGTTCTCAACCTTTCTAATGCCGCGACCCTTTAATACAGTTCCTCATGTTGTGGTGACCCCCAACCATCAAATTATTTTTGTTGCTACTTCATAACTGTAATTTTTTTTTTTTGCATAACTGTAATTTTGCTACTGTTATAAATCGTAATGTAAATATCTGTGTTTTCCGATGGTCTTAGGTGACCCTGCTAGCGATTCTCAACCTGTGGGTTGTGACAATAAATGTCTTCAGCTTTGAGAGCCACAAGGTCTCTGTCAGCTCTGTGGTTGACATATGAAAGCAGTTATAGTCAGGATATAACGAATGAGCATGGTGTGTTTTAATAAAACTTATTTACAATAACAGGCAGTGGGCCAGAGTTTGCTGACCCCAGCTCTAAAGGCTAAGGTGATGGAGAAAGGGCTCCAGAGCCCTGAGGTCAGAACCAGACCCAGAATTCTGTTCTACCATTTGTTTTAGTTCTTCACATTGGCCATGCTTAAGCATAAACACGCCAAGAGTTGTAAACAAAATGTTAGAATGCCGATACTTACACTTGTATCTAATTCTAGCTGCAAAAGACAAGGAAAAGAATAAAGAGAAGAAATTCAAAGAGTTTGTGAGAATGAAGCCAAAGAAGAAAAAGAAAAAGAAGAAGAAAACCAAACCTGGTAATTTTTTCCTGTAGGGTGTTTCACTTGGATTTTCTTAACGTAGGGGCTGAGGGGTTCCTTTCTCCCCAGTCCTGGCCTCTGTGCTTGCACGGAGGGGAGGAAGGTCAGCAGGCCTTTACTGACCTGGAAGGCTCAGCCCTGGCAGAGGAGAAGCCCACTCACCCTGGGAGTTATAACACCACATTGGAATTTAGGAAAGCCCTCCCTCTTACTTCATTGGTCAGTGTGCTCTGCCATAGGGCAGTGCATAGGAAAGCATCCTGGTAACAGAGAATATGCAGATAAAGGACTGTATTTGTTTGCACACACGATTCAAACACACATCTCTGAAATATTTCAGGAAAGGATTCATTTTTTTTTTTTTTTTTTTTTTGAGAGAGGAAGGGAGAGGGAGAGAAAGATGGAAACATTAATGATGACAGAGAATCTTTGATCGGCTGCTTCCTGTATGTTCCCTTCCGGAGATGGAGCCTGCAATCTGGGCAAGTGCCCTGATCTGGAATCGAACCATGACTTCCTGGTTCATAGGTTGATATTCATCCACTGAGCCTTACCAATTGGACAGGATTCACTTCTTAAAAAGTGTGTGCCTAGATCTCACCAAAAGTTTATTTTCAAAGAAAATCAGTTTTCCAACCTTGGGAGCTAGGCTTAGAAAAATAATCTTCTGGCTTAGAAAAACAGTTTTATCAGAAAAGATCAGGGAAGAAGGGTGATGATGAAGAGGAAGTGTTTGGTTTTGAGGTTCTCAGAAGTAGCTAGAAGAATTAATCCCCAAATATCTCCTCCATACCATTTTGCTCCTGAGCTTTATAGCTGTTTAAGCAGCAGAGCTGTTGGTTGGATGGGGTTGATTCTACAATGCCCTGATGACGTCCGGGGGGTGGGTGCTTATTCCTTTCTGATCTTGTTTTTTCAGAATGCCCCTGCAGTGAGGAGATCAGTGACACCTGCCAGGAACCTTCTCCACCCAAGGCATTTGCTGTCACCAGGTGTGGGTCCTCACACAAGCCTGGGGTCCATATGAGCCCACAGCTCCATGGCTCAGAATCTGGAAACAACAAAGGGAAAGTGATGAAAGTACCTGGTAAGGAGGCTCTCTGCTGGCTTGATCATTTGTATAGTCTGACAAGACTGGAATTATGTTGATATTGTAATCTGCTCAAGTATAATCTGCCCTCTGCAAGTATAATCTTTTATATTTTTAAATAACTAACATCAAATTAAATAAAGGCTGTGCCTTCCTTGAAGTTTCATTCTTTCCAACTTTGGTCTCAGGTACTACCTCTAAGCCAGCATGTCTATAACCAAATTCATTATCCCCATCCCCTTGCACACCTGCTTCCCACTCATCATTTCTTATTTGATGGCCTCTGCATCCAACCTGGTTGCTCAAGGAAATCTGAGTCAACCTTGGAGGTTCCCCTTCTCCAGCAAATTGTAGATTGTGAGTTTAACACATCAAGTGCCCTGTCAGTCACCAGTGACTGACATTGTACTTTTTGTCTGGAAGACAAAACAGGCTGGTTGCTTAACGTGTTAAAAGGAGTTGCTAACAATGTGCAAAGCATTTACAACAGTGTCTACGAAATAAATAATAGGTAAAGGTTACCTATAATTATAACTAGTCAGGCCCCAAGACCTAGTGATTTTAGTTCTGATTATATCTGAAATCTGCCCCTTTCACCACCACCCACAGTTTTGTTCATTTCTTTTTTTTTTTAACCCCCTGAAAACTTGACCCCAACTGAGCGTGCTGCCGTGTCGCTCGAGTTTAAAGGATCGCCGGCAGAGAGCTGTAGGCCCCAGTTATGTGCAAGCAACTGCTCTGGCGCTGTACATCCACAGTTTTAAAGGTGGCTCTGGATACAGACTTGACTAAGCCAGGTCCTGGCTGGATGGAGTGAGGTTGAGGAACACATATGAGTCATTAAGGATGATGATCTGTGTGGTTCATGGAGAAGTTACAGTTTCTCGCCAACGAACTCTGTAATTTTGGTTAGCCATTTACGTTGGGCTTCTTTCTCAGCATACATGATTTGGGCTGTTACTAGATGGCAAACTGTTACTCTTAACAATCTAAGTTTTAAAATTTTTGTAACATAATTTAAAATAGTGCCTGTTACTTTCTTTCCTCTCAGAGGAGGATAATCTGAGTGAGTCTTCTTCTGAGAGCTTTCTTTGGAGCGATGAGGAGTATGGGCAAGACGTTGATGTGACGACCAACCCAGATGAGGAACTCGATGGGGATGACCGCTATGATTTTGAAGTGGTCCGCTGCATCTGTGAGGTTCAGGAGGAAAATGACTTTATGATTCAGGTAGGTAGCTTCCAGGAGACAGGAACAGAGAAGCACAAGCTGGCCCTTGGAGGGAATTTTGAGGGACTACAGCTAAAGGCCAGCAAAAGTAGTCACGTAAGAAGCCCCTATAGGCAGTTTTTTCAGCAGCAGATTGAGCTCTGCTTTTTGGTTTAGCTTCCTCTGAATCTTGGCTTGGTGTGAATAGCTTATGAATAGTAGAAGAGAGAACTTGAGGATTCCATTGACTCTCAACCTCTCATGTTCTGCCTGGGGCATCTGGGACCCACAAATAGGAAGGGTCTTGCCTGTGGTCACATTGTGAGGATTTGAACAGCAGGGCCCTCTAAATTTCTGGAATAATCTTCCTGTGGATCCGTACCTTCTGTCTGAGGTAAATTTTCTTTATGGCCTAAAGAAATGGACTTCTCTCTCAGCATATTATTTGTCTGTTTCTTGTTCTTTATTTTCCTGATATTTGTATTTGTCATTTCCATCTCTGGAATGTGCTTGTGGACTCCCTGCCTGCTTGGGGAGACCATCACTGGCCTACACCTACTTTCCTTTGATATCTCTCTCTCTCTCTCTCTCTCTCTCTCTCTCTCTCTCTCTCTCTCTCTCTCTCTCTCTCTCTCTTTTTCTCTCCTGGTCCCTCTCTTGCTGTTAATCACAGTTCTGGTAGAGGTGGTTCCTGTCTAGCTGACTCTACGAGCTGTCATAAATACCCTACGTGTCTTGGCAACTTCCTGGCTGTCCAGGGTACCTGAGTTCTTTAAGTAAATCATGGCTATGTTGTTTAATATTATTTGAGTTTTCTTCCTTTTGATTAGACTTTATGGTAATTTCTGGGAATTCAGGGTGCATGAATAGTCTCAATTACTGCCTGATATTTACGACCTTAAGTATGCCTTAGGTTAGTGGTTTTCAAACTTTTTAAGTATCAGAACTTTTTTTCCTAATGGACTCTTTCACATAAAATCAAAATGTTTAAAGATAAAAGCAGCAGTTTAAGGAAAGTTCTAACTGGATGATCTTTACTTTTAAATTTAGAAATGTGTGCCCTGGCCCTTGTGGTTCAATATTGGAACCTGGGTCTGTGGACCAAGGGGTGGAGGGTTCAATTCCTGGTCAAGGGCATGTATCTGGATTGCAAGTTCATTTAATCCCCGGATCCCATCCAATTGATGTCTGGAAGGACATCTGATCTAATTAGCATATTATGCTTTTATTATTATAGGTTGATATTTACATGTAATCCCCATACCTAGAAATACTGTGTATGCATATTATTAGTCTGGTTTTATTTCACATTAATTTATATTAATTCAAGTTACTTTACATTAATTTTATTCTTTAATGGTTAATTTGAACATCTTTTTATTTAAGAATAAATTTTTTTCCCTTTGACTTGTTTGTTCATGTTATTTATCTATTTTTCTGTTAAATAGTAGGTCATTTTACTATTCATGTGTATAGGCTTTTTGTAGATATGTTTTTGTATTCGCTGTTACCAAAAAGTTACAAATGTTTGTCATCTGTTTTTTGGCTTATCTTACAGATTTTATGAGGTCAGGTATATTAAACTTTAATAATTTCTGGGATTTGAATAACAGTTGCTTTCTCATTGGAAGTTTATAAAAATTTATAGAAATGTTGATAAAAGAATTCTCATGGTTTCTTCTGGTACTTTTGAAATTTCATTTATTTTTTAAAAACCATTTTAAAATTTGATCTGCCTGGAATTTATCCTGGTGTAAGGTGAGGGCTATGGCTACCTAGTTGTTCCAACACTATACCTCATTATTGCTATCCAAGAATAAGGTGCACCTTATCCTTGACTTAGTTTCTGTGTCCCTCAAATAGTATTTAAAAATCTTTCTTCAGCCGTGGTTGGTTTGGCCCAGAGCATCGGCCTGCGGACTGAAGGGTCCCAGGTCCGATTCCGGTCAAGGGCACATGCCTGGGTTTCAGGCTCAATTTCCAGTAGGGGCATGCAAGAGGCAGCAGATCAATGATTCTCTCTCATCGGTGTTTCTATTCCTTTCCTCTCCCTTCCTCTCTGAAATCAATAAAAATATATTTTAAAAAAATCTTGATTCATAGAGATCTTGCATGTTTTATTCTTAGATAGTCTTAGGTATATTTATTCTTTTTTTTTGGTATATTTATTCTTAAACAGTCTTCAATTTATTCTTAGATATTTTATCTTTTCTGTTATTCTTGTTCATTTCTAAATTTAAACTTTAAAAAAAATGAATAATGTATTAGACAGACTCACACAAAAGAAGTTATTTTGAAATTTTCAACTTGGCTATATTTGATTCAATTGTGGTGAATCCTAGTACTCAAGACTCATTGAGAGACTTCCATTCTTATTAGTAGTCTCTTTTCTGCTACTAACTACCTTTGCTGTCATTTAGCCTTTATTTCTCTCTGAGCTTTAGTTTCTTCATTGGAAATGGAAGAATTTGGATCAGATCTTATCTGAAGTCGCTCTTTCAGCTCTGCCTGTGTTGATTCTGAGTAATCAGCTTCCTAGATGGTTTATATATGCCCATGAAAGCCCTCTTTTTATTGATTTCAGATAGGAAGGCATAGGGAGAGAGAGAGAGATAGAAACATCAATGATGAAAGAGAATCATTGATCAACTGCTTCCTGCACACCCCCTACTGGGGATCGAGCCCATAGCCCGGCATATATCCTTGACAGGAATTGAACCTAGGACCCTTCAGTCTGCAGGCTGATGCTCTTATCCACTGAGCCAAACCGGCTAGGGCTGTATGAACTTCAGACTTTTAGTCCCTGTGGCCAGCCAGGCTGGTGGCCCAGCCTCAAGGCCATGTCAGGAAACTCACTGTCCACCTTCCAGAGCTATTCATTTAGTTGGGTACTTCAAGATTTTGGGCCCTGCTTTGGAATTGCTTGAAGTATCTTAGTATCTTTTTTGACATTTGCTTTTTCTCTCCATTTCCTTTGGGCCCTTAGTCCTTAGGCTTACTATCCCCAGGTAATGCTGTCCTCGTTGTCTATACCTTTTTCCCTCTGTTGCTCCTGCCTCTCCACCTTCTTTTCCCCACCTCCCCCTTTAATCCAGGGAATACAGTGGGATTTAGGGGTTAAAAGCACTAGCTTTGCAATTTGCCTGGCTTGTGTTCTGACCCCCCATTGGCTCTCTTCAGCTGTGTGACCTTTGGTAAGGCTTAAAGAAAATAAATGCAAATGCTAGCACATGGTTACTCCAGGAGGTATCAGAAATGTTAGATTGCCACTTAGTAGTAGTAATAGGCTCTTAATACATTAAAATTGTGAGACAGGAGCTTTTACACATGACCCACTGATTCCTCATAAACAGCCCCACATGGTTGGTAGGAAGAGTATCCCAATTTGCAGATGGGGAAACGGAAGCTTAGGGTGGAGAAGTGACCTCTGCAAAGTCACACAGTTAATGAATGTCTGAGCCAGAATCAAACTCAGGTTTTTTAAATTTTTTTTTTATTTAATTTAATTTTTTAAAAAATGTTTTTGTTTTTTTTTATTGTTTTAATTTTATTGATTTTGTACAGAGAAGAAGGAAGAGAGAGAGTTAGAAACATCGATGAGAGAGAGAGTCATCGATCAGCTGCCTCTTTCACACCCCTTACTGGGGATATGCCCGCAACCAAGGTACATGACCTTGACCGGAATCGAACCCGGGACTTTTCAGTCCCCAAGCCGACGCTCTATCCATTGAGCCAAACCGGTCCCGGCCAAACTCGGGTTTTTTAAATTACAAGTTAACCTTCCTCTGTGTATGTGGACAATTTTTCCTGTGTCAAAAGATCAGAAGAGTTCAGTCCTTTAGAAATGAGAATGAAAGCCATATTTTTGAGACCAACACTGTTTATTAGATCTAAATGGTCTTCATATGTGCTGTCTAGCATAGTAGCCTCTAGTCTCATATGGCTATTAAGCACTTAAATGTGGTTAGTGGGTCTAGGGAACAGAATTTTAAGGGCATAGGGAACTTAATTTGTTAATGTAAATGTAAAGAGCCACAGATGGCTAGTGGCTGCTGTATTGCCTAGCACAATTCTAGATGAATGGTTGCAGCCCAGCACCTGTGTAAGTCAGTTGTGGGTGTTCTCTCCAATTTCCCTCTCCCCCCTCCTCCCACAGGTGGGCTTACTTTTGAACTAGAGGTCAGGTGCATGAGTTCGTGCACAGGTGGGGTCTGGTCAGCCTGCCCTGGTGGGGGAAGGGGACGCCTGTGGCCTGCTAACTATCAGGGGGCGGTGATCGGGGCCAGGCCGCCTAGGAGGAGGGGCTGCGGGGGGTTGCGGGTGGGAGGGGGACAGTCAGGCCAGTTGGCCCTTGCAGTGCACGTCATAGCTACCAGTCATTCCAGTCGTTCCGTCATTCCGGTTGCTTGGTGTGTGTGTGTGTGTGTGTGTGTGTGTGTGTGTGTGTGTGTGTATATATATATATATATATATATATATATATATATATATTTATTTATTTATATGGGGAAGATACACTCTCAATTTAATTTTTATTGCTTCTTTAATTCTAACAGTGTGAAGAGTGCCAGTGCTGGCAGCATGGAGTCTGCATGGGATTACTAGAAGAAAATGTGCCTGAGAAATACACCTGCTATGTTTGCCAAGACCCTCCAGGTAGAGATTTTTGGAGTCAGGGATATTAACACTATGTAGTCTTCCTTGGCATAGCTGGGTATGAAATATCCTGTCTGTGGTCTTGAGACTCATTTCTTCAGCATCCGCTAGACTCTGACTTCTTTTGCCTTTTTTGCTAACTCACCTGATGGCCAGTTTTCCTGAGTTTAGCAGTAAGAGACTATGTGTGAAGAGTTTCATCAAATAGAAGAGCTGGCCTTGAGCTGGAATTTACTTTTTATTTGTTTGTTAATCCTCATCTGAGGATATTTTTTCCATTGATTTTCAGAGAGAGAGAGTGGAAGGGACAGGGAGAGACACACAGAGAAACATTGATGTGAGAAAGATACATTGATTGGTGGCCGCCTGCACATGCCCTGACCAGGGCCAGGGATTGAGTCTACTACCTAGGTACATGCCTTTGACTGGAATCGAACCCAAGACCCTTCATTCCTTAGGCCAACACTTTATCCACTGAGCCGAACTGGCTAGGGCCTTATTGTTTATTATAAAAGTTATGTAACATGAGATCTACCCTCATAACATTTTAAGGTTATAGTACTGTATTATTTATAATCGAAGCACAGTGTTTACAGCACTAAAACTTATTCATCTTTCATGACTGAAACTATAAAAACTATGGAATGCTCTACAGATTTGCGTGCCATCCTTGCATAAAGACCATGCTATTCTGCTCTGTGTTGTTTGAGTTTTAGAATTCTTGAGAATTCATGAGGATGTAGGATGTCATTGACTTTTAAGGGCTGTTGGTGAGTTAGAAACCTGCCTCTGCTCCCTCTAGTGGTACCTGGCCTCCATTGCTTCATTGCCACCAAGAAGGGAAATGTGCCCTTAAGGGGAAGGGAAAAGGTGTGCTTTTGAAGAGCCTATCTGCCACCCAAAAGAATAAATTAATTTCTTAGCAGGATCAGTTAGTTTCTTTGTTCCATGGCACAGGGATTGCCAGTGGCTCTTGGGTGCCCCTTTCCAGAAGTTTCAGGGGTGGATTATAAATCTGTTGCTCTTGTCTTGCTGTCAGTAGGATGTTGACATCTTCTCCCTGTTCACTACTTGTAAGTTCTCCTTCAGCTTCAGTCCTATGATCCCCTTACAGCTAGACAATACGTGAGAACCGCTGCTTCTGTTATTCCTTTTAGTTCTGTGAATGGTCTAAGGAACTCCTACTCCCATTGTTACTTATGAGACAAAAATTGATGTAAGGATATGAATGACTTTTCTAATCTCATAAAGCAACTGAGATTTAGAATTGGCTTGTAAGGCCAAATCTCTTGATTTTGCTAGTTGTGTAGTGCGGGGCTGGCCATCATAGTTCATTTTCCAGCAAGTAGATTTCCTCGGGGCCTGATAACCTCTATTGTGACGCTATGTCTCCTTGTGCTAGATTAGGCCATCGACAGAAAGGAATCTGCCTCTATTTTTTCTCTTTATCTCAAAGGAAAAATATGGTCAGAAGATTAGTCTATGAGTCATAGGATATTATTGATAGGCAGGATTTCAGTGACTACCTGTCAACTCCCAGCATTTGACAGGTGAGCAAATACAGATCCAGAGAGGACATGGCAAATATAAGAACCAGTGGCTCTGACCTTTGTCTTGTATAGCAGGTCGTATTGCTCTGAATCCTGTTCAGGCAGCTCCTACAACAGCTACCTCTGAGATTCTACATGTAATCCCGAGGGCTCCTTATGGAAAAATCTCTTTTTGTCTACTTCATTGTCTATCATTCTCCCCCTCTGCATTTCTGTTGAAAAATCTCTTTTGTCTACTTTATTGTTTTTTATTCTTTTTCCTCAATTTTTCTCTTTTTAGAAATCATACACACCATCTTCCTCAATTAGTACACACTTTCTGAACTTCAATAACTCTTAATTGCCAAGACTGTGAATAGATTTCTCATTAAATTGAGCACTCAATGTCTGACACATTTAGAGACTAGGTTGAACTTTGCAGTGTCTTAGGCCAGAAGTTTAACTTAACAGATTTAAAGGTTCCTTAAAATGTTTTTAACAGAATCAAGGTGAATCCCTACCATGTGTCTTGTAAAGCCAGAAAGAGCCCAGAGACCTTGATAGAATTACCCAGATTATTTCAGGGTTTTTATATTTTGGGAGGTGAACAATAGCCAGACTGAAAGTTGTTCCCTGGGCTTTTGGAGCAGGAAACATTGTGAAGTCACATGGGTTGTGTTTTCAATCCTTCCTAGGGTTCCCTGCAGTGAACAAGACTACTGAAGCCATTCAGAGAAGGGAGGGGGCCTGAAAAGTACTTAATTATGGGTAGTTGACAGTTGGAGGGTCACTTAGGGCTTCTTTCCATTTGATAAATCTATTCAAGATGCTTTTTGCCAGGCACTGAGAAGACAGTGATGAACAATATGGTTCCTACTTTTTTGGCTTTTAGTGGAGTTGGGGCCAAAAATAGATGTCAAAATAAGTCAGATATATTAGAATTTGTTAGATAGGGATGAATGCTGTGAGGGAGCAAAAGTGATCAGATAGGCAATAGCTAGGAGACATTAAAGAGTCTGTCTTACTTTGGGAGGTCAGGGAGCTTACTCTGAGGAGAAGTGATAGGGAGCCAGTCCTGCAAAGGGGAATAGTGCTCTAGACAGAGTGGGTACTGAAGCAGAAACCCTGAGATCAGAAAGAACTTGATTTCACAAACAAAACTGTAAACATGGGGCCAGGAGGGCAGGAGGAGCCTGTCCTGCAAGTCTCAGTAGGCCACAGTTAGTTAGGGCTTTGTGTTTCTACTGTGTGCAATAGGAAGTCTTTGCAGGTTTAAGTGGAAGAGGGGGTGATATGATTTAAATTTAAAGATATATCCATGTTCTCTGGTCACTTCCAGGAGATCAGGAAACTTACTTTTCTTACTCACTACCTTATTCCCAACACCTAATAGGGAGTCTAGAATTTAGTAGGTGCCAAGTAAATGTATATTGGGTGAATAAATGAACAAAATAAACACACCAATCTATCCTTAAAAAGTTTGTGTAATAATTGTACAATGATGAAATAATGTGGATTTCCTTCAGGCCAAGTATTAATTCTCTTATCATCACTATTTTAGGTCAGAGGCCTGGCTTAAAGTACTGGTATGACAAGGAGTGGTTGACTAGGGGACATATGCATGGCCTGGCATTTTTAGAAGATAACTATTCTCACCAGAATGCTAAGAAGATTGTGGCCACCCACCAGCTTCTTGGGGATGTGCAGAGAGTGATTGAAGTTCTGCATGGCCTGCAGCTCAAGATGAGCATCTTGCAGTAAGTGTGGCACCTGCAGCTTTGGGGACATGTCTTATTTGGCATGTCTGGGAGGATAAATTTGAGAAACTGAAAAGCTACAAAATCAAGATAGATGACCTTACTAAAAATTCTCAGTTATAAAACATTTTTAAAAAAATCAATTTTATTGAGGTATATTTACATATTTTATTTTTAAAAATTTTAAGCCGAAACCGGTTTGGCTCAGTGGATAGAGCATCGCCTGCGGACTGAAGGGTCCCAGGTTCGATTCTGGTCAAGGGCATGTACCTTGGTTGCGGGCACATCCCCTGTGGAGAGTGTGCAGGAGGCAGCTGATCGATGTTTCTCTCTCATTGATGTTTCTGACTTTCTATCCCTCTCCTTTCCTCTCTGTAAAAAAAATCAATAAAATATATTAAAAAAATTAAAAATATATATTTTATTGAGTTTTTACAGAGAGGAAGAGAGAGGAATAGAAAGCTAGAAACATTGATCAGCTGCCTCTTGTACACCCCTACTGGGGATGTGCCCGCAACCAAGGTACATGCCCTTGACTGGAATCGAACCTGGGACCTTTCAATCTGCAGGCCGATGCTCTATGCACTGAGCCAAACGGGTTTCAGCTATTTACATATTTTAAGCATTCATTGAGTTTTGACAAATGTATGCACTCTTGCAACCACCACTATTACTGATGATACAGTGTATGTATTAATAGTTGAGATTGTTTTTGTGTACAGTCTGCTTTTTTTGTTTTTTAAATTGTGGTGACATATACATTTGTCAAATCAAACTTACAGCCCATGCGCTGCATGCAGCCCACAAGGAATATTTTTGTATCTCAACCAATATAACAGTATGTAAAAAAAGTTAAAAAAAAAAAACTTTGGCCCTAACTGGTTTGACTCAGTGGATAGAGCATTGGCCTATGGACTGAAAGGTCCAAGGTTCAATTCTGGTTGCGGGCACATCCCCAGTAGGAGGTGTGCAGGAGGCCGCTGATCGATGTTTCTCTCTCATTGATGTTTCTAACTCTCTATCTGTTCCTCTCTGTAAAAAAAAAAATCAAAATATAATTAAAAAAACTTAATAACTTAATTTTTACAATATCCTAGTATACAAAATTATTAATAGCGAATTACAACGTTTGCTAATGACTGATCACTATAATCGTGTTGCATTCATTTCCCTTATGCACTTTATGTGCGCGTGTATCATTTCTCTCCACTAATACTAGCAGCCAATATTTTAGCAGCCGATTGCCACGTTATTAGTCTTGTACTGACTTGTTTGGTGTGCGCAACAGGAAATATTTCACTTTCTGAGAATAAGAAAAATAGATTTATTTGCATTACACTTATTAATTTGTGCAGTTATTCAGTGTCTGATAAGTTAATGTTCAAGAAGAAATATTAATTTTTATTAAAATTTTCTATTTTATGTTAATGACTACTCATTTATTTCAGCCTTTTGTATTCAGCATGTCTATTAAAATAAACGTACGTTTCTATGAAAATTGAAGCTGCTTTTTTTTTTTTTTGTAGCGCACATAGACTTAAACCTTATTTATTTGACCCACGTTATCCTTTGAGTTTGACATGCTTGATATGCGTAATATAAAAATTATCACCTCAATAGTTTGTTTTTCTTTTAAATAGAGAACTAGAAACATCGATGAGAGAGTCATTGATCAGCTGCCTCTTGCACACCCCCTACTGGGGATGTGCCTACAACCAAAGTATATGCCCTTGACCGCAATCGAACCCAGGACCCTTCAGCCAACAAGCTGACGCTCTATCCATTGAGCCAAACCGGTTTCGGCATCATCTCAATAGTTTTTTAGTGTATACTTCAGCAGTGATAAGTGTAACCAACCTCAAGAACACTTTTCTATTGTAAAACATAAACTCCATACCCATTAAATAATTCCTCTCCATTTTCCCTTTCCCCAGCCCCTGGCAGTCACCACTTGACTTTTTGTCTTTATGAATTTGACTTCTCTAGGTATCTCATTCAAATGAGATCCTACATTAATTGTCTTTCTTTTTATAACTGGTTAATTTCACTTAGCATAATGTCTTTAAGGTTCATCTATTTTGTACCATGTATTGAATTTCCTTTCTTTTTAAGGCTGAATAATATTTCATTATGTATAATACCACATTTTGTTTATCCATTTATCCTAAGCATCCTTGATTGGTAAAAAAAAAGTAAAATTGAAAGCTTTTGGAAGAGATATTGTTGGCAAGCCTGTTCTCTAGCATAGAGTTTGCTCATTAAATATGCCTATTGATGGTTTGCTTGTACAGAAAAGTTTTAGGTCTTTTGGAGCTGTACTTGTGGCTTTTAATGGCCAGAGTTGGGAATTACATAGAGTGTGAATTCCCTTTTGTGGTCGCATTCTACATGTCAGGTGACTCAAGTTTATGTAAACTCTGAGAAAGACATGTGTCTCTTATTTGGGTCTGTTGGCTTTTTTTTTTTTTTTTTTTTTAAATATATTTTATTGATTTTTTACAGAGAGGAAGGGAGAGAGACAGAGAGCTAGAAACGTCAATGAGAGAGTAACAACGACCAGCTGCCTCTTGCACACCCCCTACTGGGGATGTGCCCGCAACCAATGTACATGCCCCTCACTGGAATCGAACCGGGACCTTTTAGTCTGCAGACCGACGCTCCACCACTGAGCCAAACCAGTTTCGGCGGGTCTGTTGGCTTTTATAACCTACCCTTTCTTTACCAAATACGGGGCCTTGAGTGGAGCAGCCACTTTCCTGTGGTTTCTGGGAGTAGAGCCAGGATTAGCATTCAGGTCTTGGCTCCTGTCAAGTACATGTTCTTTATTATTATTTTTAAAATATATTTTATTGATTTTTTACAGAGAGGAAGGGAGAGGGAGAGAGAGTTAGAAATGTCGATGAGAGAGAAACATCGACCAGCTGCCTCCTGCACAACCCCTACCGGGGATGTGCCCGCAACCAATGTACATGCTCCTGACCGGAATCGAACCTGGGACCTTTCATTCTGCAGACCGACACTCTAACACTGAGCCAAACCGGTTTTGGCTGTCCAGTAGTACCCCTTATCAGTATGATAGTCAGAGGCCCGCACACATTTCTACACCTCTGTGAACCAAATGTGAGTAGCATCTGTCTGGTCTGTCCTCCCACTCACTGCAAGTGTACACGGAGGGAGCTTGCCTGAAATGGTTTTCTCAGAGTTTGCCTGAGGTGATTTCCATCCCCTCTGCAAACAGACAGCCCAGGTGGGAGCTCTTTTCTTCGCTGGGAGAGTGTTTAGGAACTGAGAAGCCCCTGCAGTGGTTCCACCTACTCTAAACCTCTTTCCATGTTTGCCCTCCCCACAGAAGCAGGGAGCATCCTGATCTGCAGCTGTGGTGTCAGCCTTGGAAACAGCATTCAGGGGATGGGAGATCTCATTCCAGACACATCCAAGTCGCTGAAGCCAAGAGCAAGGAGGAAGCCCCAAGCTATAGAACTTTGAATGGGGCAGTGGAGAAACCCCTGCCCCTGCCTCGGTCTGTGGAGGAGTCGTATATCACTAGTGAGCACTGTTACCAGAAGCCCCGCGCCTATTACCCTGCTGTGGAGCAGAAGCTGGTGGTGGAGACGCGGGGCTCTGCCCTTGATGCAGTCAACCCCCTCCATGAGAATGGTGATGATTCCCTCTCCCCACGCCTGGGCTGGCCTCTAGACCAAGACAGGAGCAGGGGGGACAGTGACCTCAAACCCAGCTCTCCAAAGGTATGTGATTTTGCTTATATTTTTATGTGTTTGAGTGCTTGTAAGTTCTCCTTCTAGGGAAGATGTTTATTATAAGATTACCAGAGGCCCAGTGCATGAATTCTTAAACCAGTGGGGTCCCTTTGCATGGCCTGTGGGGATTGGGTTGAAACCGGCAGTCCAATGCTGCCTGTCGCTCCTGCTTGCTGCTCCTGTTTATCCTGGCCCTGCTGTGTCTGTCGCAGGCTTGTGCCCAATTAGGGTGCTTGCCAGCTGTGAGCCCTGCATCTATCGCCTGTCAGCTGAGTGGCATTCCCACTGTGGAGTGCACTGACCACCAGGGGGTAGCTCCTGTGTTGAGCATCTGCCCCCCTGGTGGTCAGTGTGTGTCATAATGACCAGTCATTTGCTTGCTTAGGCTTTTATATATACAGACTAGAGGCCTGATGCATGAAATTCATGCAAGTTGCTCTGCTCTGCTAGCCCCTGCTGCCTCATGGCTCCGCCATCCCATGACCCCACCCACTGGTTGTTCTGGAAGGGCGTTCAGGAAGGTTGTTCCACTGTCCAGTCTAATTAGTATACTATATCTTTATTATATAGGATATATTGATATTTATTCTAAAATCATATTTAAAATTTCTTAAAGATGTTTTGGGGTTTTTTCCCCCCTTTTCAAATGTGTGCAAAGTCAGGAGTGCCCACTTAAATCAGAGATCATTGGTTATGGGAAATGCCCACAAAATGGCATAGTCTGTGGAAGTGGGGGTGGAGAGGCAGGAAGTAACAAGGAGAAAAGGGTTGATTGGGACTTGATAAATGGAACTAAGTTAGGAAAATGAGTTTTGTTTTTGCTGGTTTTTTAAAATGCTATTTATGTTTTAATTGTATCTTGGCATGAGCCAAGAAGATGAATCAAGAGTTGTTGTGTTAGGCAGAAGTTTTTCCAATACAGTTTGGTGATAAATTTACTTTAATATTTAATTTTGCTTAAGAACATAGCCCTGACATAAGAACAGTCTGTTTTGTCAAAATATTTGCAAGTTTCATCAGTTTTCTGAACCACTCTTATTTTTTTGTTTTTCCAAATCATTCTTTTCTGAAACCCCATGTTATCTTCTTGCTAAAGTTGTCATCTTTAACTGTTCATTGGTCTTGTTCTATTCTGTCTTCAGTTCTATTCTGTCAGTGAGGGTGTGCGTGATTTAAAAAAGAAAAAGAAAAAGTTTTTTATTGACTTTAGAGAGAGAGCTAGAAACATCAATGATGAGTATCATCAATTGGCTGCTTCCTGCACATCCCCTATTGGGGGTTGAGCCCAAAAACTGGGCATGTGCCCTGACTTTGAGGTGAACTGTGATCTCTTGGTTTATGGGTGAACAATCAACCACTGAGCCATACCAGCTGGGTGAGGCTGTGTATGATTTGAGAGCTTCTACAACCTGTCATCCTTGCTTTCACAGAATTGCTGGTTGGTATCGCCAGTGTTAAATATGTTGTTGTTTATTGCTGAGTATTCTAAATTATAAACCAAACAAAGGTGGGCATTGTATATCATTCAGTCTGTGCCCTTGCCAGTGTCAAAACAGTGCTGAGCAAGGCTGGTAAGGACACAGTTTTAGTTTTTTTAGTTTTTTAAAAGATTTTGAGTAATATATATATATATATATATAATTTTTTATTTTTTTATTTTTAATATGTGTTATTGATTTTTTACAGAGAAGAAGAGAGAGGGATAGAGAGTTAGAAACATCGATGAGAGAGCTGCCTCTTGCACTCCTTCTACCCGGGATGTGCCCCCAACCAAGGTACATGCCTTGACCGGAATCGAACCTGGGACCTTCCAGTCCACAGACTGATGCTCTATCCACTGAGCCAAACTGGTTTCAGCGACACAGGTTTTTTGAGACAGACCCAGTATCAAGTCTGGACTAGGATCCACTTGCTCTGTGGTTCTAAAGAGGTCACTTTACCGCCCCTGGCATCATGGCTTTGCACATAGTAAGCTCTAAATAAATCTTAGCTAAAATCTATTTAATTTCAAATAAATGAATAAAAGGTTGAGATCACAAACTCCAGAAGAGGTTTACACTCCTAAAGATGAGGCAGATTTCATAGAGGTGACTGGCACATAATAAAAAATCAGAAAATACTAGGGTTAAACAGGGCAGGCAGGGTTAAAAAATCTTTCATTGATGGCAGTCTGACTTTAGGTCAGCACTGTTTGTTTTGTTTTTTAAAAATAAATCTTTATTGTTCAAATTATTACAGTTGTTTCTCTCCCCCCCCCCCATAGCTCCCCTCTACCCAGTTCCCACCCCACCCCCTGCCCTTACCCCCACCACTGTCCTCATCCATGGGTGTATGATTTTTGTCCAATTTCTTCCCCTTCCCCCACTCTCTTCCTCCCAAGAATTGTCAGTCCACTCCCTTTCTATGCCCCTGATTCTATTATATTCACCAGTTTATTCTGTTCATCAGATTTTTTATTCACTTGATTTTTAGATTCATTTGTTGATAGATATGTATTTGTTGTTCATAATTTTTATATTTACCTTTCCTTCTTCCTCTTCTTAAAGATTACCTTTCAGGATTTCATATAATACTGGTTTGGCCGTGATGAACTCCTTTAGCTTTTTCTTATCTGTGAAACTCTTTATCTGACCTTCAATTCTGAATGATAACTTTGCTAGGTAGAGTAATCTTGATTGTAAGTTCTTGCTATTCATCACTTTGAATATTTTTTGCTACTCCCTTCTGGCCTGCATAGTTTCTGTTGAGAAATCAGCTCACAGTCATATGGGTACTCCCTTGTAGGTAACTAACTGTTTTTCTCTTGCTGCTTTCAAGATTCTCTCTTTGTCTTTTGCCCGTGGCATTTTAATTATGATTTATCTTGGTGTGGTCCTGTTTGGATTCCTCTTGTTTGTGGTTCTGTGTGCTTCCTGGACTTGTAAGTCTAATTCTTTCACCAGATGGGGGAAGTTTTCTGTCATTATTTCTTCAAATAGGTTTCAATATCTTACTCTCTCTCTTTTTCTGGCACCCCCACAATTCTGATGTTGGTATGCTTGAAGTTGTCCCAGAGGCTCCTTATACTATCTTCATATTTTGGATTCTTTTTTCTTTTTGCTTTTCTGGTTGGGTGTTGTTCGCTTCTTTGTATTTCAAATCTTTGACTTGATTCTTTGGATCTTATAGTCTGCTGTTGGATCTCTGTATATTATTCTTTATTTCAGCAGTGTATGCTTAATTTCTAATTGGTCCGTTTTCATGTCCTCGAGGGTCTCACTAAATTTATCAGAGGTTTCTAGAAAATTCTTGAAAAACCTTATAATGGTGGTTTTGAATTCTATATCAGTCATTTGCTTTCCTCCATTTCTGTCATTTGTGACCTGTTTCTTTGTATCCACATTTGGCTGCTTCCCTGTGTTGATAGAGTGGCTTTGTGTGCTATGGGTCCTATAGGGCCCAGTGGCTCAGCCTCCCCAGGTACCTGAGGTGGACACTCTTGGTGCACCCCTTTGTGGGCTATGTGCACAGTCTTGTTGGTATCACTGGGAGGAATTGACCTCCAGGCCACCTGGCTGTGAGGACCAGTTGTGTCTACACTGGGAGAACTCCTGGGCTGGAGACACCCTTATGGGGCAGTGGGGTTTTGGTGCTCACTGAGTCTGCCCCCTGAGTGTGTCTCTTATGGATGTGAAGAGTTGTAATCTGGATGTTCTCACTCTGACCACTGGGTACACTGGCTCTTGGATCTCCAAGAGGCCACTCAGCAGAAGCTACAAAGAGATCTGCAGATTCCTTCTCTTTGTTTGGGTTTTGGAGGTGCCCAGATGAGGCCCAGCTGTGAAGCAATGCAAGCTGGTGTCGAGCCTTGGGCCTTCTTTTGGAAGCTCTGGGGCTCGCTGACCCAGCTGCCGTTTGTTAGGTGTTAGATTGCAAAAGGCCAGGCCAATCATATGCAACAGCCTCTGCGCACAGCTTGGATGAGGTTGTAAATTGGGTGGGGTGTGGTCTTGGGAATCACCAGGGCAAAGAAAATAGCAATGGTTGCCTGTCAGCCCTGCCCCAAAGAGGCCCCGGGTTTCTGTGTCCTGTGGTAATCACTGCAAGCACCGCTGATAGAAAGCTGCCCTCTGTTAATAGTTCCAGCCTGACAGTCCAGTTTCTCAGTATGAGTCTGGGTCCCCAGAGTCTCCTCTGTAATTAGAGTTCAGAGCAGCCAGGAGCTTGTATCTCCCTCCCAATTAAAAAAGGCAACAGCAGCAGCGTTGGTGGTGAGCGTAGCTGCCTTCTAAAAAAGGCAACGGCATACCCAGATGCTCTTGCACAGGCCTCCATACTTCCTCACTTCCTTCTAGTTGTAGAATTTCTAATTACCCAGACTTCCTGTGGTTCTGGATATTAGTTTTGTCTTTTAGTTGTAGTTTTGATGTGGTTGTGTATGGCAGCAAGTTCAGGTATTTATCTGTGCCGCCATCTTATTTGTTCAACACTGTGTTTTATACTATTTCACCCTCATGAAATTTAAAGTAGATTTTATTTTACTACTACCATCTTTCCCAAAAGGGAACCAGAAGCTTGGAGAGGTGAAATAACTTATCCAGGTTTATGTATTCAGCAAGACATAGAGCTAGGACTTAAACTCTTGTTTGATTCCCACGTATCTTATTTATACTTGTCCTGCTATACTCTGATCTCAGGGGTCCTAAAGCCATTCTGTGAGGCTCACACGTAAGGCCTACGGCATTGGACAAGCCACTGAGAAGCAGCCGTGAGGTCCTTGGGGCCAGAGGTCTGTGCTGCCCTGAGGTGGTTACAGTTGGTACAGCAGTAAGTTGGCCAGTGCCCCAAGAGAGGGAGGAAAGAGATAGATATTTGGATATTTAAACTGCAATTGGTTTTTCAGATGGTGTCAAACACTGGCTGGCTAGAGCTGTCTTCATTCAGTAACTTAAATGTCAATTGCATCCCCAGGTGAGGGAATATGTTTCCAAAAAGGTCCTACCAGAGGAAACCCCTGCTCAAAAGCTGCTGGACAGAGGTGGAGAGGGGCTCCTGAACTCCCAGCACCAGTGGCAGTTTAACCTGCTGACCCATGTGGAATCTCTTCAAGACGAAGTCACGCATAGGATGGACTCCATTGAGAAGGAGCTGGATGGTAGGTCTCCTTCCTACCTCTCTTCCCATTGGCAGGCACTGTGAGCTTGCCAGGATGAGCTGCTTTCTGAACTCCCCTACATGGGTCTCCGGGACAATGTATTTCTTGCCTCCTTTTAAATTTTACCTACTTCCATTCTCTTCTCAAGATGGACCAGCCTTACTTTTAGTATTTATCAGTTACTTGTAAGGTCTGTGTGATGCTAGGTGTTCTGCCTCACTTTGCCCAGTTTTTTTCTGCGGAAGAGCAAGTATACTCTGCCTGCAGACTGTGTGTAAGTTGAGCAAATCTTTACTGACCCAGTTCTTTTAAAAAAATATCTCTTATTTTTTTTATAGAGAGAAAAGGAGAGGGATGGAGAATTAGAAACATAGATGAGAGAATCATCAATCAGCTGCCTCCTGCACATCCCCTACTGGGGATGTGCCTGAAACCAAGGTACATGCCCTTGACTGGAATTGAACCTGGTACCCTTGAGTCCAAAGGCCGACACTGTCCATTGAACCAAACCGGTAAGGCCTGACCGAGTTCTTAATCAGGTTTTTAGGATATCTGAGGATTAATATAAAAAACACACAACACTTTTATTTCTACCTTTGATAAAATCTAAAATGAAGCCTTTCCCTCTATATCAGTAGAAATTTAATAGAACCTGACAGAATCCTTTGTGTAGTCCCTAGGTATTTCTCTCAGATATTACAGATATCTTGTGATGATGAACATGATCAAGTCCATTCCCTTTTGATCCCCAGGAAGTTGCCAATTTGGTTTTTGAAGACAAAATTTCTTCTTGATTATTCACTTTATTTTATAATTATTTGTTTTCATCCTTAAAATAGAGCCTGATTAAGAAATAAATGTTCGTTTGAGAATGCTGAGTACAGTCAAGCTATTATTACTTTAATTGGAAATATAAAACATAGTATGAAGGAACTCAGGAAAATCCATATGCTACACAGCTAGGGTCATAAGGTGTGTTCAGGACATGAGTATGGCCATGCCAGGGGAGAACTGTTAGGGGCAGCAATTATAGGCAGGCTTTCTGGAACTCCTGGGACTGAAGTGGAGCCTTGAGGAGAAGAATGTCTTCTGCTGGAGATGTGACTCGGAGTGGATGATAAGAGGACTGGCTCTACTGGAAAATGGATTGCCACATTGGAGGATAGTAAGAGAAAGAGAGACCCACATGACCTCATGCTTATGTCTTGTCCCTGAGGCAAACTGTAGGAACTGGGTTTAGGAGGCTAATCCAGGGCCCATTGTGAGGGCATTTCTGGAAGAATTTTTAAGTCTATTTTACTCCTAAAAAGTTTGCTTGGGCTCCTTAGAATTGTAACTGATACCACTATTTGTGCAAATGCTATTAGATTGCTGAAAGAGGATTGGATGTCAAGACTGAAAATTGTTGATTTTCAAAGAATGGCAGTAGGAGTGGCTCTGGGTCCCTGAGAATACTTTAGCACGATGGAAACTGGGTGAACAACATTCTGTTGTTGCCAAAGGAATCTGCCCTTAGGGGAGAAGTCAAACCTACCTACTTCTTTAAGACTTACCAATGTACTGAAACTGGTCACTATGGAGTTTTTCTTGCTCCACAGGTGACTAGCAACTCTCCTGTGACTTTGATTCTTTACTCTTGTTTTCAAGTTCAGTTCTGAGAAGGCAGTCTTATTTTTTTATTTTCAAGTCTTGTACTTGTTGGGATTAGGAGGAGGGAAGGTTCCTCTCCTTGGAACCTCCAGGTACCAACAAGAAAATCTGATAGAGGGAGGATGGTGAGCTCTGCAGAGCCTGCGCAGTCAGTGGAGCATTTTGCCAGACCATTCCCACATTTCTTCACTGCCTGCTATGTTCCATGCACAATTGAGTTTTAGGGATTATCATGGTGAGCATGGCAGACTTGGCCTTTGCCTTCATGGAGCTTGATCTTGTGGTAGACACAGATATTAATTAAACCATCCATTATATGTGATTACAAACTACAGTTGGTGCTTCAAAGGAGAAGAACATGAGATAGCGTAGCACTCATAACAGTCAGGGCATATGCCTGGGTTGGGGGCTCTATCTCCAGTAAGGGGCATGTAGGAGGCAGTTGATTCAGGGTACAGAGTTGGGAAAGGTTTCCTGAGGAGTAACTTGCAGGAAATAAGAATTATAAAGGTGGGAAGGAAGGTGGAGGGCTGTGATTGAGGAGGGGAGATGATTGTATGTGAGACTGCAAAGTTGCTTAAGAAAGCCTTATCGACTCCAGAGCTGCACTAATAAAGTCACTTGCTATGTATGGCTGTTTAATTAAAATTAAATATAATTTTTTTTATTTTTTTGTTAATCCTCACCCGCACATATTTTTTCCATTGATTTTTTTTTTTTTTTTTTTTTTAAGAGAGGGAGGGACGAGGGTGGGGTTGGGGGAAGAAACATTGATGTGAGACACCTCAGTTGGTTGCCTCCCGCCGAACTCTAGTTAGGCTGTGATTCAACCTGTAATCCAGTTACGTTCCCTTGATGGGAATTGAACCCTCAACCCTTTGGTGCGTGGGCCGGCATTCTAATCACTTAGCAACATTGTCCAAGGCTATAATTTGTTTTTAAAGAAATTTTATTTATTGCCCAGCTGGCATGGCTCAGTGGTTGAGCATTGACCTATGAGCCAGGAGGTCATGGTTTGGTTCCCAGTCAGGGCATATGCCCGGGTTGGGGGCTCGATCTCCAGTAAGGGGCATGTAGGAGGCAGCTGATCAATGATTCTCCCTCATCATTATGTTTCTCTCTCTCTCTTTCCCTCCCTCTCTGAAAGCAATAAAATATATTTTTTAAAATTTTATTTATTGATTTAGGGGGGGCAACGGTATATGTACACAGATAATAATTTAATAAAAAATTTCACTTATTGATTTGGAAGAGAGGAAGTGAGAGAGGGGCCGGAGAGAGAGAGAAAGAAGAGAAACATCAATTTGTTATTCCACTTATTTATGCATTTAGTGTTTGATTCTTGTTTGTGCCTGACCTGGAATTGAATTGGCAACCCTGACATATCGGGATGATATTCTTATAACTGAGTTACCCATCCAGAGTAAAATGAAATACATTTTAAACTCAGTTTCTCACTTGCACTAGACATGTTTAAATGCTCAGTAGGTACATATGTCTGGTGGCTGCTGTATCAGACAACACGGACCATTTCCATGTTGCAGAAAGTTCTACTGGACTGCACTGCTCTAAAGCATTTTAGTTTTGTCCTAGGATAGTACTTTGTAGAAAGGTTGATGAATTAATATTGCCTAAACTGCCCTCTCCTTCCAGCCCCCCAAGAGTGGTCAAATGGGATATAGCGTTGAAATTGGTGCTGAAGTTCTAGACAGTCTTGCACATCAAGTGTTGGGAACTCATTGGATTCTCTTTCTCTTCTGCCTGCAGTGTTGGAGAGCTGGCTGGACTATACTGGGGAACTGGAGCCCCCGCAGCCCCTGGCCAGGCTTCCACAGCTCAAGCATTGCATTAAGCAGCTGCTGACGGACTTGGGCAAGGTGCAGCAGATCTCGCTCTGCTGCTCAACATGAAACAGGGCACCCAAAACTAATGGGGGCACAATACAGGGGCGCCTGCAGAAGGAACTTCGCATTTTTAAAATAAATAAACCTAGCATGCCGGATGCATGTGACACCGACTGACTTCAGGGATCTGGGCAGACGGGGTGTGATGGACATTGGACAAAGGCCATTTTGGCTGCTGGAGGGCAGGGCACTCTGATCTCAGAGCTTACCAAGAAGGTAGCAAACAGACTCTTAGGATTCCCTTCTTCTGTGCACATCATTGGATGGAGAGTGAGTCTTTTTGCACAAACTTCACTTGAAATCGTGCCACTGATGATAAATGGAATGAGAGCCAAAAAAGTTTCGTCGGAAACTGTTGTAGATTCAACTTGCAGCTTATTTAATTGACTTTTCGGTCAGGTTGGGGCACATGCCAAGCCTGTGGTTTCTGCCTGGCATGGATTTAGGCAGCAGGTATCATTTTCATTTTTCCAGCTTCTTGGGAATGTCGTGACTTCACCATTCTGTGGAGATTGGGAACAGCAGAGGCCTTGGCTGCTCTGCCTTCTCTGTCTGACTCTTCATTTTTCTCTTCACATCTCGTGCATGACTTCATGGTACCGGGGACAAGTTTTGTAAGCTGTCACCCCAGAGTTGGCTGGGTTGTGTCTTTTACGGCGGAGCCCTTTCAGCCTGCGGAGGAACTAGAATCTCACTGTTCTAAGAAGCGAGGAGGAATTCCAAACTGAAGCAGGCGGGGTCTGGAACCCAAAGGACAGCATTTTCTACCCACTTCTTAATATTGACAGCATCCCAGTTCTATTTAATGTCCAAAAGGTGTTTCCCCAAATTCTGAACTCTTTCACTGTAAAGGTTTGTTACAAAGAATGTGGTTTGGGGAATTACCTTATTTTATATTGCTGTAAACAAACTTTAGATTCTACATATGCCGCTTTCCTCCTTCCCTGAAAGGTGTATGTTTAATAGTGGCATTTTCAAAATTGTTTTATTATACTTTAACACTTTAAATTTCCGGTTTGTATTATTTTGTGAAATTAAGGTGATTATGCTGCTTAATGTCCAGATACAATTTGTACCTTTTGAGACAATATTTGTTACTCTCACAGGTTACGGTTCTACATGTAATTGCTATATTGTTTTTTCCTTACTAGACAAAGTTAAAGAAAATGTTCCATGTTTTGAGGAGTGACCTATTTCACTGTTGAGTTTTCTTAATCACTAAAAGCAAAAAGCAAAGCACAGTTGTCCATTAACACTCACAAGTTAATTATGGGTTTATGAATCTGTAATGTTATATGCTGCAAATATTTACTATGTAAACGTGAAGTAGCCAATATCTCAATAGCAATGACAGTATCTCCGGCGATTTGTGGAATGGTTAGGCCTTAGGCACAGGTCATTGTGGTCATGAAGGCCTCTGTACCGAGATCTATTCCAGGGAATGCTGTCCAGCGATTTGTTCACCATGTGATATAAAATGAATTTAGGACAAGTTGACCTGCTGTAGCTTTTCCATCAGAGGGAATACATGTAGCTGTGACATCTGTAGTAAAGCTGACACAATTCCTCTACAAAGAGGCTGTTTCCCGTTGCTAAGGTTGGCGTTTCTGGTATAGGAAGAAACCCTCTAGGAGTGTGCATGGCATCTATGTTTTGCATAATTTATCAGACAGCCTCATTCTAAGAACTGTGTGATGCTTGTCTGAAAAGGGAAGAAACAGGATGGTTTTCTGTAGCCACAACTGTGAGATATGATGACTTTTATTATTTAGATTACTGATACTTTCCCCCTCAAAATAAATTTGATTGTCACTTTTGGGGGAGCTGTAACCTTAGGATAATTTCATCTTTTTCAAAGATGGAATTAAACTAACTGAATTACCCTAATTTTGTCCGTTAGTAGGGCTTATTAAGTTCTGCAAAGGAAAAAAAAAAGTCCCATTTCACTCATTGTAACTTTTGTCTGTAGGGAAGCAGGGATGACTCCAAGTTCTGGTAACCTCAGTGTGCTTCCCTAATTTAAAGCCATGTTAAGGGGCTCCACCTCATTCCTGGGTCAATCTGAATAAACCCCAAGTTGGAGCACTGGAAACGTATTTGCAAATATTACTGTTACCATTTAGAAATACATACACTACCTAAGTTTTCTTTTGAATAAAACTATCCACCTTTTAAAATATTGCCTTGACAAACAGTTCTGGTTTGAGTAATCATTTTGTTTCTTTTAAGTGATAGAGAATATGCAAGGTGGACCCTTGATGAGCCAACGTTGCACTGTGGATACATTATGTTTACGCGCTATTAGAACAGAAGGCGCTGTATATAGAAATGTTGCTTTGAAGCAATATTTGCAAAACATGCAAACTTCTGTATCTGTATTTGGAAAAAATAAAACAGGTTTTTGTTGCTATGTTTAGTAATGTTATGAAATTCTCAATATGCATTATTTAACTTTCTACACATTTTTTAAAGGAAGTCTGCTTTTACATTCTAAACAGATTTATTATACATTCTGCAGGGAGGCAGATGGATATAAGTTCAAGACCCCAATAAAGTATGCAAAGTACTTTTGAATTTATCTAATATTCAAAAGTAAAATCTCATACACCAGCCACTAGCCCATTCTTGCTCATGTGTTGTGAACTGCAGGCTTATTAGATTTTGATTATTGAAAGCAGTGGAGGGAAGACAGGTTTGGCCTTCCTGATAAGAGATTGCACCCTGATGCATTTAGGATATTTTTAAGACAAATCCAAACTGCCTGTGGACCCCAATTAGCTCCTTCCTGGTTGGGCTGAAGACCCAAGGAACAGAGTAGGCTTTAGATTTCATAAAAGAGCTTAACTATTTCCACATTCCTTCCCTTTTTTTCTTTAATCCACACGTTCCCCATGGCTTTTCAGAGAGTGGGAGGGGGAGGGAGAAACATTAACGAGAGAGAGACATTGCTTTCGGCAAGCAAAAAGATGCTCTACCTACTTAGACACACCAGCCAAGCTCCTTCCTATCTTTCTAAACAATTATGCTTGCTTAAAAAAAATAAATGGAAGTGGTTGGAGAGAAATTTAAATGTGTAGCTCTCCTGGCCAGGCAGCTCAGTTGGTTTCAGCCATCTGCCTGATACGCCAAGGTTGCATGTTTGATTCCCTGGTCAGGGCACATACAATAATCAACCAATGCATCCCATCCATAAATATGTGGAACTACAAAATCATTTTTTTTTCAAATGCCTAGTTCTATCAATTAGTTCAGATTAGTTCTGCTTAAATCCTTAGTTAGCCTAAAATTTGGCAAGAAAGGTGAACCTAGAGGCATAAACCAGAGCTAACAAGAACTAGCCTATAGGAACTGCTCTGAAACTTAGATGGTTTGAGCCTTTTGGGAATCCGTGCCCAAAGGGCAGGATACTATGGCATTTGGTGGCAGTACTGGTATAGAGTTAGGTAAGCAATCATTTAAGAGAGCCAGCTATTTGCCTGCCTGATGCCACAAGCACCAACCTATATGGCAAGATGTGTCACTATTTTTTCAGGTAGGAAAACAAACTTAGATTCTAGCTAGTGAGAGGTAGGGACGAATATGGACTCCAGCGAAACAAAGGACACCCAGTAGGGTCCTGGGAAGCGTGCAAGAGAAAAATTTCCCAGATGTGGCCAACACGTAATGATCCAACAAAAGCCAACGAAGGCCAAGTGAATAGGAAACAAAGACTTTATTCTCATGGGCTCCCACTAACAAGAACAAAGGTTCTTGTTTTCCCGAGCTCGGGAAAATAAACCCAGTAAAGAACGAACGAAAGGGCTACATCAGACTACAAGAGCTGCCAAAGCTCGTTTTCATTAACGTGGATTGGGGATCGAGGCTCAGGCCCCAGTCCAGAGAGCGCCTGGACCGGCCGAGCCGCCAGCCGCTCAGCCGGTGATGCGAACATCCGAGCGGCGGTGAAGCCGCCTGGCCCGCGCCGCCTCGGGCAAAACGGCGAGCAGCTGCTCTTGCACCAGCATCTCCACGATCTGCTCCTTCGTGCGGATGTCGGGTCGCAGCCACTGGCGAGAGAGCTCCCGCAGCTGCCGAAACGCCTCTCGCGGGCCTGCTGCGTCTCGGTAGCGGAACTGTCGGAAACGCTGGCGGAAGATCTCCGGGCCGGGCCGGGAGCCCTCAGGGCCTGGGGCGGTGCGCGGAGAGGCTTCAGCATGCGGCGCGGGGCCCGTGGAGGCCGCCACGGGTGGAAGGATCGCTTCGGGGACAGCGTTGGCGTCGGCGTTGGGTTCAGGCGATGGGATCTCAGGAGTCGACGAGGAGCCCGCGCAGTTACGCTCCGGGTCTGAGCTCGGGCCGGCTTCTTCCCCTCTCTCGCGCGGCGGCTCGGAGCTCCCAGTGGCCGCCACGTCGGGATGGGTCGCCTCCATGATTCCGGTTCTGGACGTCACTCTTTGTCTTAGGGCTGCGGGTCCAGCGCTGCGCCTGCGCCTGCGCCTGGTCGGCGAGAGGAAAACGTTTTCCGGTAAAAGGGAGAGTCTGCGCCGCCGGAGGAAGATGGAATCCGGAAAAAAGGAGCGCGCGCCAGGCGACGCCCCCGGGCGGGCGGAAGCGGAAGTTTCCGCTGGCGTCTCTATGATGAGCTCCGCGCCAGAGCGCCCGGAAGCCGAGTCCGGCTACAGAAAGCGGCGCCCCCTCGCGTTCCCTAGTCGTGTGAGGCGACCGGTTCCGGGCCAATTTAAGCGTGAGGCGGCCCTTCCTTGGAGTGATGGCGCCAGTTCGAGGAGTAGGAGTCCGTGGACCAGGTGGAGCTGGAGGAGGAGGAGGAAAAGGAGGAGAAGGACCAGCGGGGTTCTCTTCCGCTCTGGTCTCTTCAGCTCGCAGGTGACCGGCGCCAGCTCCTGTGCGCAGGCGCGTCTACTCACTAGCCCCTGATTAGGCCGCGGCGGGACGGCGGGACGGCGGGCGGCGGGCAACTGAGGGAGAGTTGTCTTGCTGTCAAAAGAGGAGGGCATCTCTGTCTTCCTATGTCACAAAGTAAATATTCAAGAACTCTGACGTTATTATTTCTTGCGTGTCCTCTGAAACCAAGGGACAGGTGATTCTGTTCTTTTAACTTTAGGGTTAGTAAATACACTAAATGCTTTGCTCCATATGGTGGTCTCTAGACACATGTGCTTACTGAGCCCTTGAAAGTCGACTAGTTGGAATGGAGATGTACTGTAATCTAAAATACATAAGGGCCCTGCTGGTTTGGTTCACTGGATAGAGAGGGTGGGCTTTCAGACTGAAAGGTTTGGGTTCTATTCTGGTCAAGGGCACATGGTCGGGTTCCAGGCTCTATACCCAGTAGGGGACGTGCAAGAGGCAGCTGATCAATGATCCTTTTATTTTTTATGTTATTGATTTTGTACAGAGAGGAAGGAAGAGAGATAGAGAGTTAGAAACATCGATGAGAGAGAGTCATCAATCAACTGCCTCTTGCACACCCCCTACTGGGGATATGCCCGCAACCAAGGTACATGCCCTTGACCAGAATCAAACCTGGGATCTTTCAGTCCCCAAGCCGACGCTCTATCCATTGAGCCAAACCGGTCCCAGCGGCTGATCAATGATTCTTATCCCTGATGTTTCTATCTCTCTCTCCTACCTTCCTCTCTGAAATAAAAAATATATTTGACCCTAGCAGGCTTGGCTCAGTGGATAGAGTGTTGGCCTGCGAGCGGACTGAAGGGTCCCAGGTTCAATTCCAGCCAAGAGCAAGTGCCTGGGTTGCCAGCCAACCTGGTGTGGCGCGTGTAGGAGGCAGCTAATCAATTATTCTCTCTCATCATTTATGTTTCTATCTCTCCCTCTCACTTCCTCTCTGGAATCAATAAAAGTAAAGATTAAAATTTCTTTAAATAAATAAATAAAATACACAAGGGATGAAAACTATCAAGCATTCTTCTCAGATTTCAATGGCATGAAATTAGAAATCAGCTACAATAAAAATGCTCAAAAGCAATCAAATACATGGAGGCTAAATAGCATGCTATTAAAAAATGAATGGGTTATCAAAGAGATCAAAGAAATAAAAAACATTCTGGAAATAAATGACAATGAAAACACAACAATCCAAAATCTATAGGACACTGTGAAAGCAATCCTAAGAGGGAAGTTCATATAACTACAGGCCTACCTGAAGAAAACAAACAAACAAACAAACAAACAAGAAAAACTGATCATATAAAATGATGCAGAAAAAGCATTTGACAAAACCCAATATCTTTTTAATAAAAACTCTCAGCAAATTGGGAGTAGAGGGGGGTCATACCTCAACATAATAAAAACATTATATGACAAAACTACAGCCAACATCATACTCAATGGGCAAAAACTAAAACCATTTCTCCTAAGAACAGTAACAAGACAGGGATGCCTACTTTCACCATTCCTGTTCAATTAGTACTGGAAGTGCCAGCCATAGCTATCAGACAAGAAAAAGAAATAAGAGGCATCCAAATTAGGGGAAGAAAACAGTCATTATTGGAAGACATCATGATATTGTATATAGAAAACCCTAAATACTCCTTAAAAAAAAACTACTAGATTTATTAAATGAATACATCAACATAGTAGGATGCAAAATTAACATCTAGAAATTGATGGCATTTTTTTTTTAAAGGTAAAGCCTGAATTTATTTATTTTTAAATATATTTTTATTGATTTCAGAGAGGAAGAGAGAGGGAGAAATAGAAACATCAATAATGAGAGAGAATCACTAATTGGCTGCTTCCTGCACACCCTACACTGGGGATCGAGCCCACAACTGGGGTATGTGCGTGACCTCCTGATTCTTAGGTCCGTGTTCAATTACTGAGCCATGTTGGCCAGGCCGATGGTATTTTTATATACCAATAATGAATTCTCAAAAACAAACTAAAAAGAAATACCATTTACCATTGCAACAACAACAAAATTAAGATACTTAGGAATAAACCTAACCAAGGAGGTAAAGACCTGTACTCAAAAAACTACAGGACATTGAAAAAAGAGATAGAGGAAGATATAAAGAAGTGAAAGAAAATACCGTGTTAATAGATTAATAGAATCAACATCATTAAAATGTCCATACTACCCAAAGCAATCTATAGATTCAGTGACATCCCTATTAAAACACCAATGGTATATTTCACATACCTAGAACAAATTATCCAAAAATTTATATGGAATAAAATTTTAAAAAGGACCCTGAATAACCACAGCAATCTTGAGAAAGAAGAACAAGGTTGGAGGATATCAAGTTATACTTCAAAGCCACTACTCAAAACAGTGTGATTCTAGCACAAGAATAGGCATATATTATAGATCAATGTATCAAAATAGATACCCCAGAAATCAACCCAAACCATTATGTTCAATTAATATTTGACAAAGGAGGCAAGAGCATACAATGGAATCAAGACAGTCTCTTCAATAAATTGGTGGGGAAATTGGACAGATACATTAAAAAAATGAAACTAGGAGAATCCAAGATGGCTGCCCAGGTAAACACCTAGCCGCAGCCGCACATAACAATTTCAATAAAATACAACTAAAATATAAAGTAGACATTACCCAGAACTACAGGAAAGTCGACTGACTGGAAATTCTACAACGAGAAGCAAGGAGAAAACCAGAAGGAAGCACGGAGGAGCTGGAAAAGCCTGAGGTACAGAGACACGCTGCGCAGCGCGGAGAGGATGGAGCCGGAGAGGAGGGCAGCTGAGTGCCTGGCTGGCGTTCCCTAGCAGGAAGGAGATAAAAGCTCCAACTGTGCTGGGCCCCAGTTCCGACTGCTCTGAACCCCAGTTCTAGGCCAGACCCCAGGACCCAGGCTCAAATAGAGGGAGCTGGGCTGTAAGGCAGAACCCCGTGGAGCAGCGAAAGGAGGTCCCGGAGGCCCGCAAATTGCATGCAGAGAAGGGACGGTTGGCTGTGCCGTGGAATTGCCCTGGCCAGAAGGAGACAGGGGTGCCAGTCTGCTCTGAACGCCACCTCCAACTCCACTTCCAACTGAACTGAACCCCAATACCGGGCTCATTGGGGGAAAGCCTAGACTGTTTGGTAGCAGGCGAAAATCGAGGGCACCTTTCTCTCAGAGGTGCTTGCAGCGAGTACTGAAGGACCCTGAGACTCAGGAGCCGCATAGGGCGGGGCTGACGGAAGCCAAGGCTGTAGGCTCCACCCTAAAACCCCGTCCCATCTGTAGCTGCGAAATGCGACAATGAAATAGATCACAAACGAAAGAAATGGAGGACAAAAAGCGACTGGATATAGAGTTCAAAGCTACGCTTTTAAGGTTTTTCAAGAATTTTCTAGAAAAGATCGATAAGACCTATGAAGATATGAAAAGAGATCAACTAGAATTAATAAGGAATCAACAAATAAAGAATATATTTTCTGAAATAAAAAATATTATACAGAGTCCTAAACACAGAATGGAAGATCGCAAGAATCAAGTCAAAGATTTGGAACATAAAGAGCCAGAAGACACTCCTCCACAGAAGCTAGAAAACAAGAGAATCCAGAAAATTGAAGATAATGTAAGAAATCTCTGGGACAACTTCAAGCAAACCAACATCAGAATTATGGGGGTCCCAGAAGATGAGAGAGAGCAAGATATCGAAAACATACTGAAAAGAAATAGTGACAGAAAACTTCCCCCACCTGGGGAAAGAATTAGACTTACAAGTCAGGAAGCGCACAGAACTCTAAACAAAAGGAAGCCAAAGAGGACCACACCAAGACAAATCATAATTAAAATTCCAAGAGCAAAAGACAAAGAGAGAATATTAAAAGCAGCAAGAGCAAAGAAGGTAGTTACCCACCTATACGATTGTCAGCTGATTTCTCAACAAAAACCATGCAGGCCAGACGGGAATGGCAAGAAATATTCAAGGTGATGAATAGTAAGAACTGACAGCCAAAGATAATCTATCCAGCAAAGCTATCACTCAGAATCGAAGGTCAGATAAAGAGCTTCACTAATAAAAAAAAGCTAAAGGAGTTCATCAACACCAAACCAGAATTATATGAATTGCTGAAGGGGATTCTTTCAGAAGAGAAAGTAAATAAAGATAAAAATTATGAACAACAAATACGTAACTGTCAACAAGTGAATCTAAAAACCAAGGAAATTAAAAAAAATCTGATGAACAATATTAACTGTTGAATGTAATAGAATCAGAGTTATGGAAGGGGAGTGAACTGACGATCTTGGGGAAAAGGGGAGAGGGGGATGAAGAGACTGAACATAAACTGTGCACCTATGGATGAGGACAATGGGGGGTGGGGAAAGGGCAGAGGGTGGGGTGGGAACCTGGTGGAGGAGAGCAATGTTGGGGGGGGGGGAAGGAACATTTGTAATAATATGAACAATAAAAATTTATTTAAAAAAAATGAAAC